GAAGTTAGCAGTACAGGTTGGTGCCTCTCTTTTGGATTTTATCTGTGCTGACAATGGATTGTTTCAATTGGCCTCAGCTTGACCTTTGACTCCCAGCAAATCAATTAATGACACCAGAAGACACCAGATGTTCAATCACAACTGGTTAGGGCAGTGATTTACATTCAAAATATCAAAAGGTCATCCCCTAAAGCTGTTTTAAGGGACCAGCATGTAGGATTTAATGCCAACAAGCCGCGACATTGCAGGTTGCAACTAACTCAATTCTGCTCGGCTTCCAAATGTGTAGGGGAAAAACGTGAAAGGCCCTATGTAAAGCCAGTGTTTGGTTTGTCCTTTCTGGGTTAATGTTGAAACATGGTGGTTTAACATGGTTGAGCAAAAACTAAAAACCAACTGTGCCCTAGCTGCTCAGCACCCAACAGCAGACGGACACAGTTAGCGACTAGCTTGTGAACATAGTTGAGTATCTAGTTGTTAAAAGTCCAGTGTGTAACATTTAGGAGGATCTGTTTAGAATTGAATATGATATTCATATGTATGTTTTAATTAGTTTATAATCACCTAAATATAAGAATTGTTGTGTTTTCGTTACCTTAGAATGAGCGGGTCCTCTTCTACACAGTCCACCATGTTGTACCCCCGTGTTTCTACAATAGCCCACAACAGACAAACCAAACACTGTTTTCAGGCTTTAGAAAACGCTGCCCACAGCGGGAGACTTTGGCCAATCATAGGTCGGTAAGATAGTTGATTGTTGAGTCTCATTAACAGTTCGTCAAATACAGACACTTTGGGTCACCCCAAAGCTCTTTTTCCAGAATTGCTTACTGCACCTTTAAGTAAAAGTTGGTGGTCATGTATAAAAGAACTGTTGACTGCTGAAAGTAAACAAGATGCAAATAGTGGTCTCAAGTCAGACTTTGTATGCCCAACCTCCTCTTTCCTCCAATAACCTCAGATTGTGTCAGATGTTTAATTCCAGCCGCTTCAGATAATGATCCATTTCGAAATATCATGTCTTTCCTTGAAGGGGTTTTTGTTGACCGTAAGATCACAGAACAATTCGAAAATGTATCTTGCCAAGTCACTGAGGCTTTAAAACAACTTTGATTTATTCATCTTAAATCAAACAGCTTTGCTTCTGGGTTGAAATGTTTAGGCTTTTTTCCAATGTATTCTTATTTGTTTCGGAATTTAATTTTATAAAATGAAGTGATGACAGAGTGAAAAATAATGCGTATCCTACAAATTTTTCATCAGTTAAGTGCATATGAATTGGAGTGGAACAATCTGTCACACAAGTTTTAAGTAAAATAAGATTTTAAGAGTCAACATAAGATTGATGAACAATGTTTCTGCAGTGCAATTTGTCAATTTGTCCAAAAGTAGCACAAGATAATTGGAAAAGATTCTAACTTTTCTCTCAAAATATGACATTTTAATTTCGGTCTCTTCCTCCTAGCAGACATATCACGTTTCCCCCGTAAAGTAAATATCTAAATATGCTTCCAAACTCCTGACATATTTATCACCATATCTCTCTGATCTGAGGAAAGCTGTGCTGTGAAACACAACATCGTATTCTGCTTTCAAATGCATGCAGCTCAGTAGCCTTGAAACTGCCAAGTGTGCTCCCTCATTTTCCGAGGGGTCACTCATCTGAATCACGCAGTTTGCCTGTCAACTGTTTGTGTATAGGCCTGAGGATACTGAGCAGGGAAGACTTGTCCAATCTGACAGGGAAAACAGAAAATCTCTATTTTCTCCAAAGGGCTTTGGGCTTTCTACAGCAATCACAGACAGACAACATACTCTGAAAACTGACATGAGCGAGTAAAAAGCACAACAAAAAAGACACATATTCATCATGATTGAGCCATCATTTGAAAGGAAAAATCAAAATACCTAAGGCAGAAGATGATAGCTCGGGTCTTTCAATGGAGATACATTTACTATATATTATATAAAAAAAATCTCCATTTTAAAGTGATTTCTTTTAAGATTTGACTTCTAAAAACCTCAGAAAATTTCTTAAAACTAATGAAATGAAATCTGTCATTGGCTAAATAGTCCAACCAACTCACAAAGAACCAAAAAATCCAGCACATTGTTGATCATTTGTACTTTAATAAACCTTTCCTAACCGTCATGTGGTAAATGAGTAGATTACTAATTTGTCCTATTGAATTGAGTAATTCATGCCAAATTAAGTAATTTATGTGCATGAATTAACAGCTGACATTTTAACATATGGTGGATATTGATGAAAGATACAACTTCCAAAATGTACTCTCCAAATTTTGCACACAAATTAACCAGTTCAACAGCCCAACTAATTTTATTTATTTTATGCACACAAGTTAGTAATTCTAAAGCATCGGGGCGCCCCTGTAGCTCACCTGGTAGAGCATGTATCAAGGCTGAGTCCTTACCACAGCAGCAATTCATGAGAATTTTTTTTTTGCCTCTTTAAACATTTAGCAGATATAGAGCACTATTATCATTCATTTGCACTCATGTTTCTGGTCACCTGATGAATTTAAGTCCAATCTTCACACTGCTTTTAGCTCTCTTTGTCTCCACCAACTCCGTATTTAGACCCAAAACTTTAGGGACAATTTTACTGAAAGCTGCTTGCTGTGACAGAAAATTACGCTGATGAGAGCAGTGAGAACTGGCTTTTAGAATACCTACTGCACTGGCAGCTTTTTTTTTTCTTTTACTTGTTTTGAGAAAATAACATTTTAAAGAACCAATTATAGACAAAAATGTTTTGATGAAGAGAATTTTTTGCAGTGTATTTACTGGCTGGTTGACATTCAAAGCAACGCATTTAGCACTGGTTTATGAATGGAGCGTGTGCCTCCATGAATCACTTCAATGAAATATTATTCTATAAATAAATGGACACACTAATCAGCTGTGAACGCTACCAAGGTACATGCCAGGTTTCATCTGTTTTCATTTAGCTTATCTTCGCCCACAGTAACAGAAATTGATCATGCATCTGAATTATTTCTGCACTTTGTGCCTCATGAGCACACACATACATTCTCATATATATATATAT